ATGTGATACATTTTCAAGTATTCAAGCACATACTCTATCTCATATGAAATGTTACCAATTACCTATTGTTCTTTCCCTTTAAAGTTTGAAAAAGCCATGATTCAAGGATTCCAGCACAACTCACCTTTCCTGTTGTCACAGAGCCAGTAAGCAATGTACAAAGAGGCCAGAAGCGAGATAATAAGAAAGATTAAGAAATAAGATACTATACAGTACACAAACAAACAAAAATTGTGGGAAAATAAAACTCACTCTCGCTGGATCAATGCCTTCAAGAAGGGCTTTGAGTCTTTCATTAGCACCAATCGTCAGCTGCAAATCACCGTCCACAAACACTCGGTAACAATCGACAGACCTTGAATCAGTCGCTGCTGGAGCCGCCCAAGCGATCAAAACACTGTTGCTCAACTGTCGCTCAACCACCAACATTCTTGGTGCAGGAACTGAAGGTGAAAAAAAAAACAAGTCAATCAATGAAACATTCATGGTAGAGTATTTTTCGAAGGTTACTATAACACAAGGGTCGCCGCAACAAAATGTGGAACAACCTTCTTATGAGTAATTGATTATGCTGCACCTCTTTCTTTATAAAAAAAAAAGATATAAAGGGTAGGCCAAAAAAGTGAACCAATTTTTTACTCACAAAGAAAAAAAGCAGCAATGAAAAAGAACACTATTATAAATGAAAGCTTGCTCAATTCCCTTTCAAATGGAACTTGGTTTTATGGTTCCAAGTGCCACAGCATGGACAAAAAACTATTCAAACAAAAACTTTTAATATAAAATTGCCAGCCAAATCCCTCCAGCACAAAGATGCTGTTCTCCAGAGCTTTTTTTTTTTTAGCCATAAATGTGGCCCAGTAATTTTACCAGCAAACTTCATGCTTCCTTCAAAAGGGTGTGTACACATTCCCAAAATTCAGTTCACTGTGTTTCTGTCCACCTTGGAATATTTCTATTTGTCCAACATGGATCAGAGCAAATATTCAAAAATAGTTTTTTTTTAATATATAGGGGTGATATTGATGGGCTATGGAGATTAAATATGCTTTTGTTTGTCTGTAAAGCAAGTATAGACACACACCCTTCTGAAGTTACTCATTGATGAGATGTTGATCCAGATAATTAAATTGTTCCAAAGCATTACTGAGTCATTTCTTGTCTATCATAATATGTAACTAACTCTGGATGTTCTTACCCCCAATGACAGAAGGATATTGCAAGAATACTATAGTTCAACTGTGTGACTCAATTTAACCCATTGATGGCAAAAATATCTTTTCCATCCCTGGAAAAAGTTTGGATTTTCTTGTAAGATTTTTTTTTCAGGGGTAAGAAGATCCAGGCAGCATAAGGATGAGTCAGTGATTTCAATTTTTCAAGTGTGACTCTTTTTTTGTTTTTACATGTGAACTTGGATGCTCACTTTTCAAGCTTAAAAGTAAAGATCCAAGATCCTTGAAATGCAGTGGGTGGGGGAAAACCAGCCCAGGTCAGGGGATTATAAAAAGAAACTACCTCAATAAGGAAAATCATTTTTCTTTCTGAAATAAAATTTTCTGAGTTTAAAAAAAATCTGAGATATGTTCCTGACTTTTCCTTCCACATATAGTACAGGTGTATTTTCTTTTCAATCAGTCCCCATAGCAGGGGAAATTTGTCTCTTTAAAAAGTACAACTTTTCCAACCAAGGTCTAAAATGGATCCCAATCTTCCCAAAATGAGTAATCCTCCTAATGATGAATCTCAACTGTATATAGGGTCAGAAGTTTGACAAGTTGAATTCCAAGACTTTAGAGGGAAGGTTAAATTTTAAATATGAAAAGGTGGAAATTATATTAATACAGCAGTGGGGTCTTGGCTATGAAATGCCACTGCGACAAATATTTCAGATTACAAACATTTTCTCTATAATGTATCCACCCTGGCGTTATAATAATTAACACCATTTCAGCTAGCAGAATTTGACCCCAAATTGTCCTTTTAGAAAGCAATAGTGTTTTTCTTGAAAAAAAATAAAATTCAGCTCACATTCTTTCCATCCAATAAACNCAAATTTGTATTATTGTTGAAAAATTTAGGTTCGGGTTATTAATTCAAGTACAGTATCAGCATTAGTTTCATTAAGCTATCTCTCGAAAAGCAAGGTTCACAACCTTCTATTACCATGGTTCAAAAATAGAAGAAATGTTCTATTCATCTTTCCTTTTAGTTCAAACTTTCCACGAAGATAGGTCATTTATTCCGAAGAAAACGTACGAGGAAAAAACTTAATTTGAAATGTTAGTTGCATATTTTCGAGGTATCAAGCGGTGTAATCTTATTGGAAGATTTGTGTTTGTGGCAATAGAATACGAGTAAGTGAGAGTATCAAGTGAAATATAGACTGAATTTGACATTACCGTATTGAACTCCTCTTTCAATGGAGAAAAAGATATACTGTATTCTCTTAAAGCTATGAAATCTGAAACAACGATCATGGGTAACGAGTGCAATTTATCCCGGCTTATTTATTTATTTTCGAAGGTCCAAGAATAATTCTATGGCTTATTCCGGAAGTTCTGAGCCTGTACTTGGAGTACCCGAAAACTCAAACAGGACTCTCCAGTAAAATAAAGAAGTCGAATGCATTGTAAGAATAAGAAACAAAACTAGAATCTATACAGATGTTCGGTGATGGAATGAACTCACCAAAAAGAGCATCGACGGTCACAATCTACATTCCAATTTCAAGATCCGAAAGATACTTTTTTTGAAGCGAGTCCGCTTTAGGCTTTTATTGCAAGACACGGTGTCCGCTTTAGGCCTTGTTTTTTGAAAATGAACTTTAAACTCCTCTCAAGGTTAAAACAATTTTATTGCAAGACACGGTCTTATTTTCGGGTTATAAAAATTCCGCTTTAAAAAAAAAATGCATCCATCACTGGAAATCACGACTCAAGAAATTTAATTTTTACTATCTCATAAATTTTATTGGTACTTTCCTGTTATCTCAGTACCTCATTCCAAGACCACACTACCATCCAGACAAATCCTTAGGACGAGTTCATAATCACGACGACCTACCAGAAACCGTGAATTTTATTTTCCGACTTTCTGCTGAAACTGATTTTGGGAGGTGGTTAGGTAAAGTTAGGTTAGGTCAGATTATGTTAATTACAAATATCCTTCAATTAACATAACCTGACCAAACCTAACTTTACCTAACTGCCTCCCAAAATCTTTTTCAGCAGAAACCGTAAGAAAGCAGAAACTGATTTTTGGATGTGGTTAGGTGAAGTTAGGTTATTTTTCTGGATAGTAGTGATGTAGTTCCTTTTCTCTTCAACTAACGTGATTAAGTAATTTTTCATCACACAAATACAGAATTCTTGAGACAAAGAAAAATGGGTACTGAGATAACAGGAAAGTACCAAAAATCCAGACTATGCTGTGCAATAAAAAGAACCCTCTGCCATGCAAAGGTTAGAAAAGATTTGGGACTCTTGACATTCAATGAAAAGACTCTTTCCAAAAGCTTAGAGGACCAAGATAAACTCTTAACTTTATACAATTTCTAATCAAAGATTCTCTTCAAATTACTTAATCAACTAAAACTTATCTGGGAGCAGGATGACCACCTTGTGCTTTGATTTGGGTTCAGTAATTGCCTTATGCTGCAATTTTTATCATTGATATTTTCTCTTTGATTATCAGGGAGAGGAAAAAAGTGTACGCATTTACATCAGTTGTGCAATTGTATGCATTTGTGACATGCAGCAACATCTACCATATTTTCTTGAGTACCACGCAACCTCAAGTAAGGCGCGCACAGGGTTTTTTCAGTTGGAAATTTGGCTAAAATCTTATCCCCGAGTATGACTTGCACTGCAATTTTTAGTAAATCTAAAACCACAAAATTTCAAAAATAGACACAAAAAGTTTGACTTTAGACATGAATTTAACAAAAATCTGACCAATTTTCAACTTTTTCAGAACAAAAAAGTTTTCTTGTCACTTTTTTCCAAATTTTGTCATTAAGATTATGTATAATGCACATAGAACTTTCTCAAACTTCTTGAAAATTTTGTACCCCCTTATGACGCGCACCCCTTTTTTTCTTCTGGAATTCGAGAAAAAAGGTGGGGGTGGTACTGGAGTAAATAGGGTATATACCCACTAACTCTAAAACATTTGTCCTCGCAATAAAGCACCGAATTTCAGACAAATTTTTAAGACCGTTTTCACTAATCAACTGTCACTTCGAGAGAGTCCGAGTCATCTGCTTTGTTAAGACACTTGACAATCTTTCAATTTTTTTTAATAGCTTCCTTGAAAACATTTCCCTCCAAAAAAATGTAAAAATTGAATTTGCTTCACCATTTGAAAAATGTTTTCACGATGGAATAAAGGGGGGGAGGTCTCGTCGCATTTTCTTTCGACAATATGAGGAGACCCAAGATTTCAAGTGTCAAACACTCAAGTTACTCCAAAGACTTACACAGCACTGACATGTATGCTTATATCTATACTGGAAGAAATGTGGTCCTTTCGTTGAAAAAAAAATTGCCATTTTATTGCCCCTGATGCCGTCAGCGTTCTCAGACAAGTGAGCAGAATAGCGTGCCGTTAGCTTTAAGGATAATTGGCCACATATAGAATCTGAGGATTAAGTGCGACGAAAAGGGGGTTAATGACTAAATGCAAGACAAGGTTCCACTAAGTTACTCACTCATTACTCAAGTACCGTACAGTANATTAACAATATAGGACGCAATTCTCTGCTTACCTCATCGACGTCGCCCCAGACAAGAACATAATCCCCAGCTGTGAGCGGCAATTCTGACTCGGGGTTGTCGTTGGGAGACTGCATAAAAGGATCGTAGGAATACCTGAAAAACACACCAGTGAGCAAATATGAATTAGGCAAGAGATCATATTATGTACGAGGCAGAAGGAATGGGGTATGATACATACTCATGTTATATGTGAGCTATTGGTAAGCCATTGCAGCACCTTCATATTAAATTTTACTTCACCATGAGGGTTGTTCCACTTGGGTGCGATCTTGATTACAGTGAGACCCAGAGATGCAGAGGTAATTGGGGCATCAATGAATGAATGAATGAACAGAACACTTTATTTGCCGCTTTTCAGCATTCACAAAAACACACCAGTGAGCAAATATGAATTAGGCAAGAGATCATATTATGTATGAGGCAGAAGGAATGATCTATGATACCTACTTATGGTATATGTGAGCTATTGGTAAGCCATTGCAGCACCTTCATATCAAATTTTACTTCACCATGAGGGTTGTCCCACTTGGGTGCAATCTTGATTACAGTGAGACCCAGAGATGCAGACGTAATTGCGGCATCAATGAATGAATGAATGAACAGAACACTCTATTTGCCACTTTTCAGCATTCACAAGGCACAACCAAGACTCCTGCATCCAAACCTCGTCCCCACCCAACCCAACTCTTGGGCATCAAGAGTGTCCCTAAGTTGGATAGTCCCTAAGTCAAGTCTTGTTTCCCCATAGACTTATATTGTATAATTTTTCATTGGTGTTTTATGAAAGAAATATTCCTTCAGAATTCCAAGAAAAAAAATTTTTCTTTGCCATTTGAAGTTGATTCAGTGAATATATTTTCAACCCAATAAGAACATTAGGAGCATTGAACAGTATACCACTGTACAGTTCATTGAAATGTTGGCATCTGTAAAAATGGCCAAGGTTCTAAACATAAGGCACAAGGTGCTAGAAAAATTGCAGGCCAGCTAAAACATGAAATTTCTTTTCTGCTTCTATAACCATCATATTTTCTAAATTTTACATAATGCTTTAAACAACCAATAAATCTCAATTTTCAGCTGGTCTGACAAATTTTTGACACCCTGTGACATGGCTGGAGAAATTCTGGCCTTATAACTGAAAAGTTTTTACTTATCATTGTGCAGTAAATTGAATTTTTTATCAAAAAGTTTTTTTAGAAATGTCGCAAGTTTAGTAAGTCATTTCAGAGAACTAAGCAATTTTTCACACCAGCTTCCACAGAAACTTCATCTCTCAAAGAGAAAGCGCCAAACAGCAATTTCAAAAGACTGAGCCATAAAAAGGACACGTTTTGGCAATTGCCAAAACTCATCCTTGGATATTTCTGTGAGAATCGGGTTTCACCCCAGCTCTCACAAGGAACAGAAATGGACCTCTGGTCCTTAGTTTACCCAAATCTTTAGAAACTAAAACAGTAACTGTACTTGAGCTCTAAAAAAGCGGATGTTGAAATCAATGCCAAAATCTCTGTGGAAAATTCCCAAAAGCGAAAACTGTGGTTGAACAAAAAGGTCTGGGCAAGGACTTCACTACCTCTCTTGAACCTCAGTACTGTGCAGTTCTCAAAGTACTTGGCAAACCTGCTATCAAAACTCTTGTGAGGATATACCAACTTAGAAAAGGGTGTTCTCAAGCACCCTGGTTGCAGCTCAACCAAATCTCTTATTGTACCATTTATTTCTCATCACTAATTTAGAAAATCAAATCTCCGTGACAAGAACCTCACAACATAACAATCTACATAATTTTTTTTGGAAGCCAAACCTAATCCACAAATAATAAAGGTCGCGTCCAAGTAGGACAACCCTTGCAAACTTTGAATGGAAATATTATGAATAATAAAAAACTTGTGTCAAAAAAATGTGTATCATCACTTTTATTTGCTGTTTCGTTTTCTCTTTATAGTCCAAATTTCTTCAAATTTTGAGTATTTTCTTGAAAAAATCTCAATTTAAAAAAATTGGTGACATACATTGTTCATGCGGTGGACTGGTATTGACATCTACATTAAAGTATTGAAGTACAGTATTGCATAAAAAAAAATACTGGAATTGAGATTTACACTGCATATCCGTATTTTTTATCCTTATAAACTAAAAGAAAAGTCTGCGGAAAAGTCAAATAATTTTTCACTGGCTTCACACTTCCTGTGATAAACTTTCTAGCACAATGAAGAGGGTGTCAATTTTCAATCAAAAAATGACTCCACAAACGTTAACATTACTTTTTGTCCTTCTTTTCCGATGAAATCAGTCTCGCAACAAATATTATTGACAGACATTAAGCTTATACAATTTTTTTTCAAACTTCTCAGGTACAATAATACTTTTATCACATTCGCTTTCCAAACGTAAAGTTTTTTGCTTCGAATTCATGCCTTCGTTTGACCTTATCCTCAATAAACGATGAAGCAATTCAAAATGTTCGACCAACACAAAAATATTACGCCCTCCATTGTTCTGATATTTTCCCATCCGCTTATTTTTTTTTTCAGGGTCAAACTCGAAAAAACTTATTTTTACAACAGCAGTCGCTTGAATACGGTTCTTATCTACTTATTTTTCAGCCGATCGAAAAATATCCTTGAGGTAATGGAATTCCGGGAAAAAATATTCCCGTTGCGAAATAAGTTTTTTTTTTCGGAAATTAAATACAGTACACAATTAGTACAATATCGACCTACTTTTGTTGCGCGAACTCCGACCCTCGAACACTCGTAAATTGACACCTGATCTCCAGAGGTTACACCAACGACCAGCGTTTATATGTCGCATACGGGGTCAGCAATTGTACCAGCATATTACGTGACCTTACATACTGTTTATCCCTGTCAGGTTCAGGGAATCGGCACACACACATACCAAAAAATAAATAAAATTATACCTTGCGATGAACACACTGCATCGACCTCGACCAGGAACGTCCATGAAGTCAGTACCCAGCACTGGACTAATGACTGTAGCAGGACGGGCCACGTGGGTGTGGAGCTGAGACATGGCCTGGTGCTGGAGAAGACCCCGGTGCTGCTCCAGGGCAGCCATCACCAGCTGGGAAGGAACTGCAGTGTCCAGGCCTATTGGGGACAAATGTGCCTCAATATAATTTGATGTGGAGTGCTGAATAAAACACAAGTCAGTCAGTCTGGGACAGGACCAGGATTCCGTTCAGGAATTCCTAGTTAAAAGGGGTAAAGCGTATTTCACAGAATAATAAAATGACTGAATGAACTCAACTTGCAAGAATAACTTGGATAACACAGCTGAACTGATAAATTCATTCTGATTTATGATGATGAAAAGGAGCTGCTTATATACTGCCAATAATAATTAACCTTCACAAGGTTTTACTTTTACAATTCAGAGCAAGAACTCACAATATCCTCAGGATACCTAGAAACCCAGTACACTTCAACAGGTTTGGATTAAAATCAAAGTGATTTAGGATTCCACGCTTTCAACCCCAAAATTCAAAAATTTAGGAGTAAAATTCAAAATGTTCAAATCCTCTTTTCAATTTTTCTGTGCCTTGAAATTTCAGATGTTCATTAGTAAAACTTTATGAACTTCAAACATTTTCGGTCCAGAAAAATCTGAACAATCCAAAAACAATTTGTCATTTGAAAAAATTCCTGTCAATAAAAAAAATTACTTAACGATTTTTCTCCTTGAGAGGGTCAATTTATAATCCAAAACTTATTTCTTGATTTATTTATTCGTAAAACTTGATGAAATTCAAACATGTTTGGTCCAGAAAAATCTGCAGCTGTCTGCAGCTTTTTTTTTGTACAGGAAATTAGACTCCACAAGTTTGTGTTTCTCACCTTGTCTGTTATTGGTTACCCCCAGGGCACCATTAGCCACGTGTCCATTCTGCTTTCTCATCAGAACCCCGTGATCCGTGGGGGTCACAAAACTGAGGCCCGCAGTTCCATTGGCAGACAAAGTGATCCCCGCAAAGGACTCCTTCAGCGCCTCAGGGGATCCTATGCCAGAGTCTGGACTCGGCTTCGACACGATCCTCTGGGATCGGCCATTTTCCAAAAGGCCAAACCTGTCTCCGCCCACTGACGTGTCCAGTTGCAATAACGGGGCTTGCAAATTGCGGAAATTGCCATTTTGGTCGTGGATGTCAGGGGCGCGACGGCGACGAGCAGCTTCGAGTTCTTTGGCGAGTTCTTCTTGTTTGGCATTTTGCAGCAGGGTTCGTTTCTCCAGCTCGAAGACTTTTGCCTGGAAGCGAGGGTAATTTTCACCAGAAGGGTTCTATTATTGCAGCTTTATTATTCGCGATGGTCTTGCGTCAAAATATTGCGATTTGAAGTATGTTACCTCATTTTAAAGAGATGAGACAAATGTTCTTGGAGCATAAATTGAAATGGCATACAATTGAAGAAAAAAAATTTCGAAAAATATTCTTTGCACGTCAATAATTCTATAGTCAAGGGTGCTATGGTGACAGGAAGTTCTTGGCACTGCAATTTTAAAGAGGGGGAATGATTTCATATTCCCAAGAATGGATATTATATTACATGCAATTATAATGTGCTATTAATTATTATGTGCTTGCCCAACAGTCTGTATCATTACTTTTTTTCTGAAGACCCCATCTTTACATCAGTTTCTTGCAAAATTCAAAAGGTATTCATGAAATATATGCTGTTGAGGAGAAAACAAGAGAGGAAACCAATGAAGGTTTCCTCCTCAATCAAAGCTAAAAATAATTGGATTTTAAGATTGGTCAGTCTATCCTGAACTCTCTTGAACAAATATATTTTTATTACTTTTTATTTGTCTGCACAAATCTGCATTACACCTGTGAGTTATTCAAATCTGTTTTGAGCATTGTTTGTGCTTATTCTTTGTATTCAACTCTGCTGAAGATCATAATATAAATTAATGAAAAACTATAAACCATATTTACTCAAGTACCACGCGCCCTTCAGTAAGGCGCGCACAGGTGTTTTTCAGTTGGAAATTTGGATAAAATCTTATCCCTGAGTAAGACACGCACCCCAATTTTTAGTGAATCTAAAACAACAAAATTTCGAAAATGAAAACAAAAAATTGACTTTGGACATGAATTGAACAAAAATCTGATCAATTTTCAGCTTTTTCAGTACAAAAAAGTTTTATTACATTTTTTCCAATTTTCTCCATTATAATTCAGTATAATGCATACATAAATTCCTAAAACTGTGTGAAAAATGTGTACCCACTTATGACATGAACCCCTTTTTTTCTTCTGAAATTTTAGAAAAAAGGTGCACATGGTACTTGAGTAAATACGGTATATTCAAGGAATCCCATTGAATTACCTTGAATTGCTGATTGCCTGCATTTATATACTGTATATATTCTTTTGTGGTCCTTGTTCACATATGCCTTGTTTATCAGTAGGTCATTAAATTTCATTCCTATATTACTCAAATTCATCTTTTTTTTCTCTTTCAAATCATGAGAATAATTTCAAGAAAAATAATTCCTTCGAGCCGGATTTGAACCAGCGACCTATGGATCACCACGTTGCGCAACTGCACAAATCAGCCATCTACAGTCCACCGCTCTACCAACTGAGCTATCGAAGGACACCTGGCCAATACCCCAACGCAGTCCCGCTCAAGAACCCAACAGCAATCGCTGACGAAACCCACTCTCTCTCGCTCTCTTTCCCTCGAAAAATTGTCAAGTGAAAACGAAACACGGGTGGAAGGAAGACGAGAATGAGTAATGAGGGGAACCCAGGATACGGTTATAGCAGCAACAGCACAAAATTAAAAAATAAAAAGAGAGACTGCTGGTGAGGAATTTCCCAACTGACCTGCAATCGGTCAACCGCGGCCGCGTTGCGGTCGCGCTCCAAGTCAGAAGCACGCGCCAGACGGGAAATCTCCTCCCGTTTCTCCTTCAGCTGTTGGATGGTTTCGGCATGCTCAGTCTCCAAGTCCCGCCGGGTTTCCGCAGCTTCTCGCATTTTCTGCCAATTTTCAGTCGGCGAGAAACGAAAAAAAATGAATGTTTCATTAGCAAGAAATAAATCATCGTCAGCTGGGAAGGAATTGCAGTACGTGGTCCAGGCCTGCGTATACAGCAAAAGTTTAATTGGATTCGAACACGATTTTTTTTCTCTTGAGAAAATTAGGCTATGGAAAGCAAGGATAAAAGATACAGTGAGACCCCAACATGCGGACACCTCAACCTGCGGACAATTTGACATAAGGACATTCATTTTCTCAAAAAAGTTTAATAGAAAAGGCCTGACATGAGGACACTGACTTGACATAGGGACATTTTTAGATAAAATTGCAAATACATTTCAGGCCAGATTACAAGAAACAGATATTTCCAACCCTAAAATTGATGCAAGAAAAGTTCTTGGACCACCAAAATACCATCCATTAAAAAAAACCTCCAACATAGAGGGACTTCCTTCTCTCTTTTTCACTTGAATTTTATTCTTAAAGAGAATGCCAACATTTCTATGCACGTACAGTGGTGTGTCAGTATTAAATTCCCTAAATGTCTTTATTGTATTGAAATTTATTGATTGGAATCAGTTTAAATTGGGAGAAAATTTTTATTTTCATGGAATTATGGTGAGTATTTTGTACATATAACACCAACTAAAAATTAGATAATGTAAGTCAAAGGGAAAATGAGACTTGACTTAGGGACGTTTTGACTGGGGACACTGTTGATGCACCAATTACATCTGCATCTTGGGGTCTCACTGTACTGTACCGTCAAACCCTATTAACCCTTGGGCAGCAAAGTCGGACTATTTTCAAAAAATGTAGTTGCACATCAGATAGGAGAAGAAAAATATGTCAACATGGGGTTAAGGGCAAAGTTGGGAAAATTTCCAATGTTTTTTTCACCGTGCACAGAAAATTTTTGCAGGAAAATGTTAAAAAATGCTCAGTTAGGCTACCGGCTTTTTTTGGATTTGCCCAACTTTGCATTCCTGCAAAGTGTCTCGCTATTTCTTTGAAAATAATGAGATGTACGACTTTTTTGTTCTTTGCATAAAGGATAAACGGCATCATTGGCCTAAATTTCCGCACGTTTTTCATCACTTAGGCCTTTGACGGTACGACCTCCTAGCAAATAAGAATAAATTTATAAGATCAATTCTGAATGACTAATACATTTTCTATGTTTCGGTCCGCCATTTCTTGGAGAACAGATACAATCGTTCTCTGTTTGTAAAAAAAAATTAGTGCGCTTTTTCTCAAAATCTCAGCATCCAGTATTTTCAATACAGTATTAATAATCATTTTTAATATCATTTAAAACTTTTTTCGGAATAATATGAGTTCTTTTAAGACTGCGTCTGGAATTAATTCTTATTAAAAAAATGCATTCGATAAAAATCCTACTGAATTCCCAAATTAATGGATTATTGACATTTTTTCAAAATTGTGGAATTGCCAAACGAAGGTAACTTCTAAGTGTTGACAGCATTCTTCCTTTAGTCGGTCTGGTTTAAAGTACATTTAAATCATTTGCGTTAGACTAGCCAAAAAAAAACATTTGCATTTCCATCATTTCAGTACAATTTTCGAAAATTTTAAAAAGTGAAGAAACTTGTTAATAGAATTCAATTCGAAGTTGTCCCATTTCTGCGCGTCTAGGGAAGGAAAATTGAATTTTCTCTAGCATTTTCCTTCGTTTTCGATTGCGATTCATTGCCAGTAAAACCAGTCAATTGTGAAGCTTAAAAATTTGGTCAATATTATCAGGTACTTTACTTTGGAAAGGCAGAATTGAAAAAACAAAAATAGGACTACTTTTATTTTTTTTTAAACTGAAATTGGTATATCATCTGACTCGGAATTACCAAATTTAATCTCAGGGTTTTTCTGAATAATAAATTAAAAGCAGGTGCCGCAGTTCCTTTAATTTTGTTTTCCTCCTCATTCCTTAATGAAAAATATTCCATTTTTCTCGGATCCCGTTTCAAAAATGCACAGCAGTCAAGACATTTCCGCTATAATAATTCATAAAGATGAATGCGAATTCCGCCTAAGAAATGGAGAAGAGACTCACTCATTCCTCGTCATAATTTGCGAAAGAGACACATATTCACCGAAATTAACGGCAATATTTCACGCTAATCGTTCAGGCGGGATTTCCAACGCATCTTTTCTCGAGTTTTTCTCCCAAAAAAAAAAATCTCTCGAGAAAAATTGAAGTTCTGAATAAAACCGCTCTTTCCTCTCGAGGTGTCATCATTCCTTGTCAAGACGAGATTTCGAAAACGTGTGTCACACACACACACACACAAAAAGGAAATAAATGAAGCAAAAACGGAAAGCCTGGGAATGAAATTAAGACAAATGACGGTGATCACCTGCAAAACGGTTTCCAGGTGGGAAATTTTGCTCCGCAGCTTCTCCACTTCCTCTTGCGCAGAGTCGTATTCTGCTTCCGTGTTGGACAAGCTTTTCCGAAGAGAATCGCATTCTTGGCTCAGCTGAGGGGAATAAAAAAAAATTAAAAATAAAAAAGGATTTCAGGTCGTCGAGAATCTCCCAGACTAAATCACAAAGAAAAAAAAACGCAACGGATGATGTCGTCGTGATGCAATACGTCCGGAACAAAGTCAATCATATCGCGAAATAAGACGCACATTTTGAGGGTATATAGAAAGATTTTTTTCTCACCCTTTGTAGTTCCTGGATTTGTCGCTGCAAGTCGCTGTTTTGGATCGTGAGTTCCGTGTTCTTGTCGATTACTCGAGCCAATTGATTTTCCTGTAGAAGAGAAGAGCATCAATCAATTTTTTTTCTTCTTCTTTAATTATTTCACGCATATCGAGGATTAAAGCAGCGTGAATCGTTTCGTGAGTCTCGGGCTGGAACATGATATAAAAAGGAAATTGCGTTACGAAGAAATTGTGACCCAACGATTTTTCACTTTTTCTGGAGGAATATCCAGGACAGAAAATCGTTTGAAAGATTCAGAACATTGCATCGATTGTGAGTATTTTTTCCCCACAGCTGTCGTTACGATTATCAAAATTACGTCAATTCTTTCCGAATTTTTTTTTAAACAAAACGTGGAATTCAGTACACATTTTCAATTTTAAAAATATGTAATAGCTTGACGAAAAAATGGATGTACACTGAACTTCTGGAAACGAGTATTTTTTTGTCTGTTGAATCATGTTACTTACGCTGAGAAGATTCGGTATTCTTTCGCAAAAACAGTTTTATTATTTCTCGAAAACTGAGCTTAACAGGGGAATATTTATTTTATGGAATGAAGGTGAAATTTTATTCTCAAGGGCATTTTAATTTAATAAATTTATAGCAGAATATTTTTTTTTTAATTTGACCATGAGCGTTTGCAATAACCAGATTTTATTCGCACAGCAAGAATTTAGCTCCAAAAAAGACATTTGGATTTAGAAAAAAAGTTGATATTCAGATTGGGGTTCGAAATATTTAATTTTCAGCTAAAAATTAATTTCTTTTCAGCGCTAGAAATCTACGCCTCATCTCAACTGAAGTAGGCTGGAAAATGCCGTAATAACTCAAGAATCATCAAATGATGAACATTGCTTAGTTCCATTGTCCATTTATCATCTGCATCACATTGTGAAGTCCATGTTCATACATGTACTGTTTAATAGAAAAAATTGTTCTTTCTTCCATGGCATTGGGGACAACTCATCGATATTAAAATTTCATACCATGAATACTCAAGATTTGTTTGCCCTTTTTTGTTCATCGAATCTGCAACTACAATACAGTAAAATCTTATTACAACAACTACCATTACAAAAAAAATTTCAGAATAACAAACTTTTTTTCAAGTCCTGGCAGAAATCCTATAGGGTACATGTTATAAAAATCTCATCACAACAAACTGCCAATTCCAGTATAACAAAATTTTTTGAGGAACATTCTATGATTTCTTAATGAAAAATCCGTAATGGAGGCAGGCATAGTCTCACATTTCCCATTTCAAATGTGACTGGTGACTGGTTCTTGGGACATGAGGTGGAATCAAGCACAAAAAGTCTTCAAAGTTCACCTGAAAATTCTCTCTTTCAAAAAGTATTCTTATGTTAGGAATGATGGTGGGAGGGGGGGGGGGGTTGTTATATGGAAAAAAATGAGCACAGCAATACTCATGTTAAAAAGGGTTTGTATGTTTGAGAAATGCTAGTGATGTAAACATTGTCAGCAATTTTGGTACATTTACCCTTACAAATCTTGGCAGGAATTGCTTTAAAAAACTTGAAGTCAAGCAAGTGTGCTAGTATTTACCTGTTATTCATAGCATATGTTTTTCTAAATTGAGTTTTTGAAGATCACAGTTTTTCAACCTTTGAAAAACATCTGAAGAGGCCACAAAAGTAAGATGTTCAATATAGGCAGGTATAATTTGAAGAAAATCTTCCTATCAGTCAATAATACAGTATTCGAAATCTCATTACTGTATAACAAATTATTCGTTACAACACAATTTTCCTGAAGTCCCCACAAGTTTGTTGTAACGAGATTTTACTGTAGTACAGTATGTGGTTCCTTTAGGTAATTGTCACACGTTGAAGCATTAGCTGCAATTCAAGCATGTTGAGAATGTAATTAGCAATGTGGTGGGAAACTCATTGTTGACAATAATGCCCAGCATCACGAAACCCACAGTATTCAATGGGGAATGTGAAATTGAGCCAAATATTAAAATTGGGTCCCCTTCAATGCATATAAAATATGCATCATATTTTATAATTTCAATAAAATATGAAATTCCATTCGGTTTCTCTTCTTGAACCTGAGAACTCCGCATTCTATACACATGGAAATTTATAAAATTTTATAAATTTTTAAAATATAGTCAGAAGAATCCATGCAGTGCTCACAAGAAATTCAACAAGCCTTCCACATTATCCTAACGACTCTTCTGACGTGTTACAGAATATCAGGACTGTCCCATTTCTGCGCGACCTTCGTTATTTCTAGCGCAGGGGTGACTGAACAAATTTCTGGATATAGCCCACAATGTCGTAAAGTTCTAGGATTTTGTTTTTCACCATGAATGGGAGGATACAATAATTGAATGGAATTTTCTGGCTCACCAAGTCCTGGCAAAGCTCGCTTTTGGCCTTGAGTCTCAATGTGAGGTTTTCACACTCCTCGTTCTTTTCTTCCAGTTGAAGCTGGATGATCTTGTATTGTTGTGTTATCCGATCCAATTCCTGCAACTGTGCCTTGAGAAGCTGGTTCGTCTGCTCCAGGG